CAAGCGCTCCGGGTTAGTCCCACATTTCCGCCACCCAAAACATGCACTATAGCTAAAAATCCTCCATCAGTGGTTGTGACCAAGCAGAGCATCAACATCTGGAGGCAGTTCCCTGCTTGTGACAAGTTGTTCAAAGCAGTCAATTTGACGGCTTTTAGTTTTGGAAGTGTAATTATTTCTTGGTCTTTGTGACTTTGGAGCTTTTGCATGTTCTCCCAGTGTCTGCATAGGTTTCCTCCGGATGCGCCGCATTTCCATACCACTAAAATCATGTACAATCAGTCTGAATGTAATGAGAGAATTATTGGTTCAACAAGCATTGTAAAGGACTTTGTGTGAGCTTGGTCCGTGAAGTGCGCCATATAAATAAAGTATATTTATATGAGATCAATATATATATTACTATATTGAGATCAATGACAATGAGAGAGTTCAAATGTCTTTTTGCTTCTTGGGTTTTGCTTACTGAATACTGCAGAATTTTTTTACTAAATTAGAAAAAAGTATTGCTATTTTTTACTATTTTAAATTTATGGATAGAATATTTATTACCGGGTGGCACTCTCGTAGATAGCACTCTCGCCTCTCAGCAAGAAGGTCCTGGGTTAAAATCCTGGTCGGAGCAGGGTCTTTGTGAGTGGAGTTTTCATGTTCCGGGTACTCCGGTTTCCCCTACAGCTAAAAACATGCTCACTAGGTTAAATACTTCCAGCTCTGGTAGTCCTGACCAAGCCGAGCGTCAACGTCTGGAGATGGGTTCCTGGGTGCTGTTACTACGGCGACCACTGCTCCTGACGTAAGCCTTAGTGGCATCAGGATGGGTCAAATGCAGAGGATTGAATTGCCCTACGGGGACAATAAAGTTAACCTTTACCTTTAAACAGGAGATTTTGTGAGTGAACAAACATGCAAAACCTTTGATACGTTAGTTTGCTAGAATCTGAAAAATCAATATCATTGTACTTCAATAGACTTCAGTTATCTGGATACTGCAGCGATGTTTAGGAATATAAAAAGAACTGAAGCTGTCATAAAATAACAGAACATAAAAATGGTATGCGTCAAGTTTTTTTCGGGGGCTCAGGTGTTCTGTGATTTGGACGGCAGCTGATTACCACTCCCGACTCAGAAGAGGACAGAGAGGAAGAAAATAGATGGATAAATGGGATAGTTTTGATTCCATCTATAATATTGATACATTTTAGATACATTTGATACAATCTTACTGTGTACAGGTTTAATTCTTATGTATACATTTTATTAGTTTGGCAATGCTCCTAATGTGCAATCACTAACATACTGGATACTACCCTTATTGTATTGTTTACCATTGTGCAGCATTATTATTATTGTATAAAAGTCAAAAATAAAGCTATTTTATTGCATTTTTGTCTAAAGCAGGGGTCAGGAACCAGGAGCCAGATGTGGCTCTATTGATGATTGTGTCTGGCTCTCAGGCAGATCTCAGGCCTTCATAGTAAGAATATCTTACGCACTGGATTTCTTGAGTGTAAACATGTTATTCAACAAAAGAAGTCTGGGTTATGTTCGGCAGTCTGAGCTCAAGAGACAGTAACCGGCTTGACAGGCTGATTAGGAAATGTGCCTCTGTGATGGGGAGAAGTGTGGACTCTGTGTGGAGAGAAGGATGAGGGCTCTAATGCAGGGCATCCTGGGTAACTCCAGACACCCTCTGCATGACACTATGGCCGCTCAGAAGAGTTATCTAAGGAACAGACTCTAAGGAACAGGAACAGGATCTTTTGTTCCTTCGGCTGTCAGACTGTACAACAAACCTGGATGAGTCTTCTGTTGCTGGACACCTGAATTTCTCCTACGGGGATCAATAAAGTATCTATCTATCTATCTTGCTTCAAACCAATAAATAGCTGCTGCTTTCTAATGCCGGGTTATTCTGAAAAAGGAGCAGTCCATCCAAACTATTTTTTTAACATATTTATACAGAGATATTCCAATCATAGTGAAACGACTTTCAGCCACTGGTCTAAAACTACAGTCTTTATGTCTTCAATGTTTAAAGTTAAAAGTCATAAAATGAAACAATAAACAGCATAATCATATAATAATTAGCCATACAAGTTTGCATCGTTTTTGTATTAGAAAGAAAACAGATATTTTCTCACTATTGCAGAAACGTACATAAGATGACTATTGATATTTTGATACATTGTTTTATTCTTAGGTTTATGAAAATAAATGCATCAATTATTGTGACAGTGCTCGAGGGAAAATTTAAGGTTGAATATTAAGGGGGAAATAGGAAAAAAGTTCTAAATGTCCTGGAATATTACTAAGCTGAAAGATCAAGGCTCTGCTGTCACTGACGCAGCAGTCATCCTCCTGTGGACTCACCCCCTGCAGCAGGATCAGTGACCCAGAAATGGATTAAGGGGAAGAAAATGGATGGATGGATCAAGGACAAATATGAATGTAACATTTTAAAACTAATTTATAAAAGGTGGGAAAAGTAATTTACCTTTCCCTATTAGGACTGACAGACTCGTTTTGTGATAGTGATATTTTGTGGACAAATCAGACCCTGAAGTGTGTTTACCTTATTAGAAACTACTTTTACATGTATTGTAAGAAAGTTCTGGAGATTTTACTTGCTTCATTTTTATGTTTAAGTTAGTATTATATATTTTTATTTTAGTGAAGAGTTATGGTTTATTTATCTTGTGTTGTGTGCTCCTCATTCCTACTGTTCTGTAACTGGTGATGCAACACTGCAATTTCCCCATCTTGGGACGAATAAAGGATTATTCTTTATATTTGCCTTGAGAGCTGATTGGCTGAGTGAGGGGTGGTCCTCTCTTTTTCACTTTTCTATCTGACAAAGCTGATCTAAGATGTGACAGAGGCCTGAAATACATTCAACTAGTGATAGAAGAATTTTGAGTGAGGAATGACTTTGATAGATTTATATATATTTGCAGTTTGACAATAGGCTCCTCAGCTTTAAATATATTTCTAAAACCTGGGATTGCCTCCGTCTGGCAGCTCTGAGCAGCTCCGAGTATCTCTGAGTCGACATATTTGTGGTTTGGCTGCAGTGATCCAGTGTGAGGACACTGACACTTGTTCTTGCAGCTCTAATGGACTTAACTTGAGCAGACATGACTGACTCCAGCAGCAGCATAAGCCATAGCTTTAGTTATTTTAAAAAGAAGTTGATCGTTGACAGAGAGAAGCTACTGATCCTGTTCAGCCCCAAGGACAGAATTAGAATGTGCTACTTTGGACGCTACGAGACAGTGTGTAGTAGTCCCTAATGGGTGTAAACACTGGACAACAAGAAGCAATAATGACTTTAATGTTCCTGCACTTTTATTGAAACTGTTTTTGTGGATCGATTTCACTGTGACTAATCTTTCCTTCACTCTTTTAGCTTGTTTTATTTATGTACTTGTCTGGAGCACATATATACATTAACTTTGCCTAAAGCCCCTGCTGAAAGATCTCAACTCACCACCTGCAGGAGGATCAGTGAGGGGCTGGTGCTCTGTGTACTGGGTGCAGCTCTGACTGCCACCCCCCCGACCCAGCAATGGATTAAGGGGAAAAAAATGGATGGATGGATAATAATAATAGATTATAGACAACTGTATAATTGAATCATAAAGACCCACATTAAATACTCAACTTGGCCATAAATATATCCTTTGCCAAGCAGAATCGCCATCGCATGGCGCCGTAAAGATGGCGCCGTGGCAAGAGCTCTGGTGTGTGTCGTCTGGTGCACACTGGGGTAGTCTTGCACAGTTTTTCCAATGTGGTTTTACTGCAAATGGCAAATAAATGAATCTGAATCTGAATGAGGATACTGTACATACTGTGATTGTTGAACTAAAAGCTGCTACTTTTATCAAGTTCTATGAACCCTGCTGCCTCCTATATAGCATCGCAGCAAATGTATGATTTTTTATTTGGTTAGAGCTTTCCCTGGGACGACGAATGGATTTGGACACAGATCTATCAGCTGTTGATTTCCAGAGCAGATGATGTTCAGTGTGTTTATGTGAACAGCAGAGAGACATAATGAGACATATCTAGGGAAATACACAGGACTTGTTTTTACGTGTACAGTACGTTTTCCCGGATGGAGTCTATTGCCCACGGCCTAAAGTGGCCTCTCCCATTCTCACTGCTGGGACCATAAAAGAGTTTTATCAGCCACAAATCTAAAACCAACATATTTTTCACAAAGACCCTGATCCTTTTGTGTCATTAATGATTTGAGAATCATAACAAGACCTTTTTTAGTACAGCGGCCACATTCTACTTTACCAGTGAGATTAGCTCGACGCGGTGAGTTCTGGCAACCCGAATCTCTCTGATTGGTTAAACTGTGGAGGGCGGGACATCAAGATGAAAACAAGACCAGTTGTAGCTGTGCAAACAACTGATGGATTGTATCTTCACTCTTTTAATGCAGTGATTATTTCGTACTGTACTAATGGTTTTGTTCAGCAATTTGAATTCCCTTGTTTATGCACTGTGCTGTGCTATACAAATAAACTTGCTGTGCCTTACCTTCAAGAATTAGGTACCTATTGTTTTTTGTTTCTTATAAGGTTCTTTTGCTACTGTATGACACAGATTGTAAAGAAGGTAGTACTGCTTAATTACTACACGGTTGGTAGGTAGACTTCTGCCTTTGTCAATTATAATGAATCAGCTAAAATCTGGGACAGTCTTCCTGAAAATGTGAGACAGGCTAAAAACAGTTCTGTTTAACTCTGCTACCGCCCGAACATGTGGTAATTAACCAGTTCTGGCTTCTTTAACCTTGGGTCGAATGAGAAGAACCATCTAAACCTTTAAGAAAAAAAAGAAGAAGACGTTTTTACATGACTTTTGAAAATTGCTCTACGATGACTCCTGGACAAATATAAGAGTACACAGATTTATCACAGAATGAATATGAAAAACTGACAACAGTAAGTCATTTTTTTTCTTCTTTTGTTTTCTTCTTTTAGCTGCCAAGAGGAAAATGTCCAAAATCCACAGTGAAAAGTCATTCATCTCGAGACACAAGCTGTCGATCCACTCCACAGATGACGAGCTCGCCGTCATCGAGAATGGAGAGAGCAGGTGAGAGGTGCTTCAGCCACATACTGCTTGTGCTTTGTGTAGGTTTCCTCCAGGTGCTCCGGTTTTCCCCTACCATCAAAAACATGTGGCATAGAAATGTATTGCGTGAATTGATGGTAATGTTTGGAGGCTTCGGTACACCAAGATTTTGTGTGACCTTGGTCTGTGAAATGCGCTATATAAATAAAGATGACTTAAGTACTTACTTCTGCAACAGTATCAACACAACTCTAACTTAAGCACTTTCCTGGTTAAATAAAGTACAATGAATAAATACATTATTTTTCAAGTACAGAGTGAATAATCCCTAAGTGTGACGCATCTTTAAGTGTCAGTGTCATGAAAAGATAAAAGTGCATAACAAATTATTAACCATTATTACTATTCATTCTTTTTATATACTGTATATTTGTTCAGAGCTCATTCGTTGTGTGAGGAAGCACCAGACGCACTGTCCATCCGACCTGCCTTCACCGGGGCCGGAGCCATGGCACGGTAAAACACACACACACATACGGCCACATATACAGACACATGCACAAAAACACTACACTAATATAGACACGCGCACACACACACACGGACGCAAACATACACAGGCACAAATGCAGTTTTGCACACAAACACACAGACATACAGCCATGCACACACACAAACACACATATAGCTCCTGTCACTGTCCTGTCTCCCGCTCACACACACACAAACACACCTACACACACAGACACACACACAAACACACTTCCCTGTGTAGCTGTAGCTCCTGTCACTGTCCTGTCTCCCGCTCACACTGCAGGCTGTGTCACCTCTTCCCCATGCTGTGCTCGTGGGTCACACGCAGACCACACCTGGAGGAGGAGCGCCATGACTCCTTCCTGGACAGATTCAAAGCTCCAGATCTCAAAGACGCCACGAGTCGAGGAAGCAACGCCACACAATCTGTGGGGCCCAACGAGGCTGCACGCAAGAGCAAGTGAGTGACAGGGAACCCAGGAACGGTGAGGTGGAGGAGAGAGGACCCACTCAAGACCCTCTCTTGAGTTTGGGCCTCAAGGATGAAAGAATTTTGATGAATACATGTATGAAGGAGGGGTCGTTAGCCCTCACTGTACAGTGACCTGACCTCCCACAAACATTTCTCTTTGTATCTGAAACATTGGGTAGTTCTAAAGCCAGGCTCTAAAATAGAATCTCTCCACCTACGTCGTCAAACTCAATTCAAACACAATTAGTGCAACAACAAAAAAATTATCTGACTGTTCAAATTCATATTTAGCAAGAAAAATAAACACAGGGTTCCTGGATTACACCACAGACACAAAACTTTCCAATCTTTTACAAAAATGTTTTTTTCATGTTTTTCTTCCTGAAGTGAGCGGCTCCATTATTATGTACATTTAATGAGCTTTCGTCCTTGTGGTTGCTACAGTAACTATATCTCTAACTATGTCATATTTACTTAAAAGTAGAGAAAACTAGACTAGATTTTGAGTCTTACATACATCCATCTTCACTATGTCTTTTGGAAAAGAAAAAGTCGGACCATCATTCATCAAGCCGTCATTTGGGATTTAAAAGTTCATGAGTAAACAAACAAATTATTATCAACAAAATGTATAAGATCATCTCTGCGAACAGCCCCATTTGCATAGTTCAGTATTAATTCAATTTATTTTGGTATAGCCCTATATCTTGACAGCATTTGTTGATTCACCAACAACAGATCAGAGAATCAAACAGGAAATGCAATAATAAAAACACGCGTAGAATGTTCCAAGAAGGAAGCAACGAACGTCTGAAAACCTGGTGGTGATTGCTACTTGTACTTCTTCCCTATAGTCTTGCAAACAAGTGGCCTTTGGCAGCTTACAACATGAATAACTGCAACAACACAGATGAGTAAGTGTGTGGCCGTAGATAGTAAAAGCACTAAGCAGGTTGTAGCCGTAGAAAAGTCCTTTTAATACAGTAACTCCATCTGTAGCTCTGTCGTAGTGATCTCCCTAACGATAATGTCTCTCAGTGTTTTGTTTGGTTTGTTTTCACCTCAAAAGATTAGGGATGCACCAATACTGAATCTGGTTTTGAATCTCTGGCAGATGGAAAGGAAATGATGGATTTGATTAGATTTTCAAACACTAGCAGGAGAGCTAATTTACACTTGTAGTCTCTGATTACAAGTGTAAACAAAAAACAAACAAAAGTAGATAAATGACCATACTATACTGCTGGATTGGAATCTATGGCACAGGCCTTTCCATTGATATAACTTATTTACTGTCTTATAAAGTGGCAGATATTAACCCAGAATATCATTGAGTTTAAAGAAGAACTATTACACATTTGTCTTGGCCTTTAAAATGATTATGGGAATATTAACTTTGTAATTTCATGTTTTAGAATGTGAAATTATAATCAAAGTAGAGAATATATAGTGAAACAAGTCTGGAGGATAAATAATGATTTTCATCTGTAACTCCCTATGCTACAACCAGAGGGAGCTGCAGAACTTGTTTAGTTTTTTCCTTAAAGTTCCAGCTGCAAACACAGGCATGTGATTGTAAAGAACGTAATTTCACCTGAGATTTACCAAAACAAATGTATGGGCAATAGTTTTTGTTTTAAAGCGGGGTGATGTCATAGTAATACAATGACATCATAGTATTACAAGACTGAGACAGGAGCTTTTAGAGAGAAGGGGCGGAGTTACATGTTTGGGCCAGAAGTTACTGATATCAATGTGGATGGAGCCAAAAACAAATCCAGGTTAAAGACTCAACACATAAGTCTATTTGTATATTATTTGTCTTTTAAAACTTCAGGATGATAAGGGTTACATAAAATAACGTTAAATAAAACTTTTGGACCAATTTTTTTAGAAAAGAAACATGTATACAGTGTATGCAGTCCTCTTGCTGGTATCTGTTATTGAAGATATTGAAAGCCAAAGATTGGTATTGAGACACATGCCAAAGCTGGAGCGGTGCATCCCTACAAAGAATGCAGAAAGAACTTATTGGACGGTGTTAAAAATCACATCACCATCTGCTGGACATTTATGAACTGTTCTGCACAAAAGGTGAAAAACAAAGAAATCCCTGAATAGTCTCAATAGTCTGGATCCTGTAGCCGTCCTTCCCATTGCCCCCAAAGTGACAACGAATAAAGAACGTGTGATCTGTAGCAAAAAGGAGGAGAAAAAAGAGGAGATTAAAAAGGACGAGGAGAAAAAGGACGAAAAGAAAGAAGAGAAAAAGGAGGACGAGAAAAAGGACGAGAAAAAGGATGAAAAGAAAGACGAGAAAAAGGACGAAAAGAAAGACGACAAGAAAGATGACAAAAAGAAAGAGGAGCCTCCGTAAGTACTGTGCATTCAGCAGAAAATACAAGTCACAAGTTTCCGTTTTGAGTTTGTTTTAACGTAAGAACTCCCAAAGCAGTCAATTTGGCGGCCTTTAGATTCGGAAGTATTACTTATTAGCGTATGTACATCTTTGGTCTTTGTAACTTCTGTCTCTAAATGTAGGTTATTTCAATGTACTTATGTCGAAAATTAAATTATCTTGTTCCGGGACTGGTCTTAGACTGGTCCTAGACTGGTCCCAGACTGGTCATAGACTGGTCATAGAGTGTGCGTAGATTGGTCCTAGACTGGTCCCAGACTGTTCGTTGACTGGTCCGAGACTGGTCCTAGACTGGTCCTAAACTGGTTCTAGACTGGTCCTAGACTGGACCCAGACTGGTCTCAGACTGATCCTAGACTGGTCCTAGACCGGTCCTAGAATGGTTCAGAGCAATCTCGTCTTGGAGCATGTGCTGGTTACCATAGCCACACACTGTTTACCTACAACAGTTAGTATTTCGTTTAGCATGTATTAAATCTAAAGGCCGTATGACTTCGCCTAACTACTGAAAAACAAAAACCTTTTTTTTCCATTATTCAATTAGTTTGAATGACTGATCTCTGCAAGTTCTAGGAATTTCAGAATTTCTGGAGTCCGAGTGTAAATTCATCACTTTACCCTGAAATGATTTTGATTCTCAGGAAAGAAATCTGGATTATGGACCCGTCTGCAGATATGTATTACCGCTGGTTGACGGTCATCGCATTACCAGTTTTCTATAATCTGATCTTGATCGTAACGAGGTAGAACCCATTGAAATAAACTGTCATAGAAGAAGCATTTGATCTAGCTTTGTCTCACATGCGTTTGTTTCTCTCAGAGCGTGTTTTAATGAGCTGCAGAACTCCTACACAAAACTGTGGATTTTCCTGGATTACACCTCAGACATAATCTACTACACAGACACGTTTGTCCGCTCCAGAACCGGTGGGTCTGATGGAACTCTGCAGAAGGGTTTTTTGCACAAAATCACACAAAAGCTAACTGTTTTACTTTGGGAACAAAATGAACTGATTAGAAAAGGGTCAAGAAAATGTCATATTTTTTGTGTGTAGGAAGTTTGATTGAAGCAGATACTTTGCATACAGTGGATATTTTCTTAAATCAATTTTTAATTGAATTTAGTCTTTAGATTTTGGGGCGTAATTTGGTCAAAGCGTTAATTTAAAAAACAAAAATTTAGATTATATTGGCCGATTTTTTTGAATAAAAAGAAGTTGTTTCTTCTCAAATAAATGTTAACTTTTATTTATATTTTAGATTTTTGAAGCTGAGGGCTTAATGACAAGGGTTTTCTCACTCAGCTACATTGATACCATATAATTAAAAACAAATGTGCAGACATTTTCAGTTTCAAGTTGGCAGAGCTGAAGTTGTATGGATGACTATAGGAATTTGTGTTTATAGTTACTTTGGGTTCGTAAGGCTAAGGCAACATAAAATGACAGAGGGCCGCAAATGTCCCGCGGGCTTTACTTTGGACATGCCTGCTCTCAAATAGAGACTTGATCACGACTAATCCTCAGACATAACTAGAAGACTGAAGAGGGCCTGTTGATGTGGTAGAGGACTGACTGAATCCAGTTTGAGTACAATAGGTTGTGGAGAGGATAGCAGAAGACAGGCAGGCTAGGTCAGCGTGCAGCAGGTACAATAAAAGAGAGGAAAAGGAGAGGACTTTGTTGACTGTATTTGTGTTGTCTGTCTAATCTTGCCTAATTTAATCTGCAGGCTACTTGGAACAAGGGCTGCTGGTCAAAGATGCCAAGAAGCTGCGAGCCAAATACAGAACCACGCCTCAGTTCAAATACGACATGATTTCTATGATCCCGACTGACCTGCTGTTTTTAAAATTCGGATTCAACAACCCGGAGTTTCGATTCAACCGCCTCTGTAAAATCGCCAGGCTTTTTGAGTTCTTTGAGCGGACAGAAACCAGAACCAGCTTCCCAAACTTTTTCCGAATCAGCAATCTTGTGCTCTACATCCTGATTATTATCCACTGGAATGCTTGCATGTTTTTCGCCATCTCAAAAACAATTGGATTTGGGACGGACACTTGGGTTTATCCGAATATCAGCCACCCCGAGCATGGACGATTGGCAAGGAAGTACATTTACTCCTTATATTGGTCCACTTTAACACTGACAACCATCGGAGAAACACCTCAGCCGGTTCGCGATATTGAGTTTCTGTTCGTCATCGCCGATTTTCTCACCGGTGTGCTGATTTTTGCTAGTATCGTCGGTAACGTGGGTGCTATGATCTCCAACATGAATGCCTCCCGTGCTGAATTCCAAGCCAAAATCGATTCAATCAAGCAATACATGCAGTTTCGAAAGGTCACCAAGGATCTCGAGGCCAGGGTGATCAAGTGGTTCGACTATTTGTGGACTGAGAAAAAGACGTGCGACGAGAAGGAAGTGCTCAAGAACTTACCTGATAAACTGAAAGCCGAGATCGCAATCAACGTCCATTTAGATACGTTGAAAAAAGTGCGTATTTTCCAGGATTGCGAAGCAGGCTTGTTGATTGAGTTGGTGCTAAAACTGCAACCGCAAGTCTTCAGTCCGGGCGATTATATTTGCAAGAAAGGCGATATTGGAAGAGAAATGTATATTATCAAAGAGGGGAAGCTAGCTGTGGTCGCTGACGATGGGGTCACGCAGTTTGTAGTTCTCAGTGACGGGGCGTACTTTGGAGAAATTAGTATTTTAGGAATCAAAGGTAGTAAAGCTGGAAACAGGAGAACCGCAAATATTAGAAGCGTGGGCTACTCTGATCTATTCGCCCTTTCCAAAGACGATCTGGTGGAAGCTTTAACCGAGTACCCCGATGCTAAAAAGGCTCTGGAGGAGAAAGGTAAAGCCATTCTGATGAAAGATAACCTTATCGATGAGGCGGTCGCCAATGCTGGAGCGGACCCCAAGGATCTGGAAGAGAAAATAGTGAAATTGCAGACAAACTTGGATTCAATGCAGTGGAAGTTCGCGCAGCTCATGGCGGAGTTCACCTCGACTCAATCCAGGATGAAGCAAAGAGTCACAGAGATGGAGGCGAAAGTGAAAGCCATAAAACCGGAGGATCTGTCTGAGGTGGCGGCCGACAAGGACAAAAAAGTACAGTAACCCAATTTGCAAAGACTTTTCAATGTTTAATTTGTACATTCAATTTGTGTCAAATGTGTACAATGTATGCAGAAATATTATTTATTAAGGCAGTTGGTTCGTGTTCCAAGTTTGACAAGACAAAGATAAGTTTTCTAATATAGATTTATCTAAATAGATGTGTTTGGTTCGGGCACAACATGAATTATCTTTTTTCCAAGATCTGTCCATTGTGCTGTTCATCAGTGTGTACAGAAAATGTGTCATCATGTGCATTTGATTCAGAATATTCCCCTTTTTCGTTAACATTTGCTAAGATGGAAATATGCAATGTTGTAAATATCAATAAAATGATGAAAAGTGAAGTGAAGTTTTAATTCTGTAAGAAAAAAAACCAAACAAAGTGTAATGCCATCTCATGCAATTAAATGACTTTGGATTATGGGGGTTTGGTGCGCTGGTAACCCTAACCTTTTGTATAGTTGCATTCGCTGTGCAGTGTGTTCCTGAGACAATTTAAAATGGCACTACAAATGTGCAAAATGTTACCACAGCAAACAAAAAGGAAAATAAAAACAGATGTAATACAATAGTTTGACCATAGACTAGAAAGAAGTAGACATAATTGTTCACCCATACTGTTGACTAACCCCCAAATGAAGCTTAGGTTAGCTAGAGCGGCTACTGGGCTAATTTTGCAACACATTAGGAGTTCCCAAGTTTTGTCTCTCGGCCAATCAGAAAGGCTGTAAATCAAACTTGTTTAGAGTAGTAGCAGTAGACATAGACTGTATGTACAGTATGTAGATGGACAATGCTAAGAAGCTAGTTCCATGAAGAACAATACTGAAGCTAGCTAACTGGCTATACCCACTCCTCTCTAAATTCTATAGGTGTGAATTGACGCTTTAGACACTCGAATCACTGAACGATTTGAAACATCTAAAATATGAACTTAAAGCTGGGAAACCTAACTTTTAAATCCACAAAACAAAACTTTGCTATACAATCTGTCTCACTATTTCCTGGCTCTAAAACAGTATAGTTGCATCACTAGTTTTCACAAGCAAATTCTCAAGCTTTGAGTAATGACTGAAAGGGTGGAGAGCTCAAAGACACGAAAGGAGCTCAGAGTAGAGCCACTGCTTCTCTCAGGCTGAAGGAGGTGTGTGTCGAGAGGGAAGTCTGGGCGTCTCTTTAGACTGCTACACCCACGACTCGGCAATGGATAAAGCGGAAGAAAATTGATGGATAGATGCATTTTTTTTTGCCCATCAGCTTTATGGGCAAATATAGAGGACCAGCCTCACTCAGCCAATTAGCTCTCAGCCTAAATTGTCAAATAGTGACTCACAGGGATTTCTCTTCATGCAAAAGATAGTTTACTTTTACTTTTAGAGGACTGTTTCTATTGGGACAAACAACATGTGACATTCATTAAGTTTTAAAGTTTAGTACGACTGCTTTAATACACACTTAAGTCTATTGCACTGAACCAAGTTACGGAGCCACATAACAAAAGCTCCAATATGACACACACCACCATTGTGAACTTCTATCTGATATCTGTCCTGATGGGTGACAAACAAAGCTAAAAAATAAATAAATACGCCTTTACACATCTGCTTGTCAAAACACCAACGCTAAGTGCACTATCACTTCTTCAAAAATGTCATGCTACATAAAATCAAACAATAGAAAATACAAATCTTTGGTAAAACTTCTGTAGTGTAATACTAAAAGTGTCCACCAGGCGAATTACAGCGTAGCACCATGAGACTAAATGCGTTTCCCCAGTGAGTTGAAAGTACTTTTGACCACGGATTCTCACAACAGACCGAAGCCTTTAGCGTACGTGATGGCCTTGAGCAGTTGTTCCCTCATCTTGTCTTTAGTGGAGTATTCCGGCAGCAGCAGAGCGTTGAAGCAGGTGTGGGAGGTCGGTAATCTGCAAAACAGCCAGGAATTATTCATGTCCAGGACTCCCTTCTCAATGGGACTTTCCTGGTTAAATAAAGGTAAAACAAAAAGAAATGTTTGAATGTTTGCTGCTTAATGCTGCTGAAGAGCTTCCTTAGCATTTCCTCCATCCATTTAAGTATTAGTGTCTAGCCCATAGATTGTATTTTAATGGACAATGCTAAACCTCTACTCCAAAGAAGCTAGAGGTTTAGGGAAGTGTTCATGGCTCCAATTGACCTAAATTGAAAATATAACTTCTCTAGCTCAGTAACTATTTGCGTCAAAATTGTATCATGTTGATCCTGGGTTTATTACCTGTATTCATTCAGGGGCAAAACTTCAGCTTGCCTTAGCAACCATCTTGGCAACACGTCTGCCCCTCTTACAGCACGAAGCAAACCCCGGAAAATGGCCAGTATTAGCTTCTTCCTCATTCAGCAAACACTATGATGACGTCAGCCCTCAGTCAGTACTCTCCAAATACAGTATACAAACTATGGTCTAGACTGTAGACCCAAACATACAGTAAGTAGGTTGTACTGTGATGAGAGACTTCTGGAAACTATGGATACAAACAGATGTATGAGACACTTCACCCACATTGCCTAGAAAGAGTCTGGTGTGTGCATGGATGGTTGGTGGAGGTCTGGTTGCCTTGCTTCTGTCGGTGTGCCCCAGGGCAGCTGTAGCTACCACGGCGTATGTGCATAGTGTATAGAGTAAATGAAGAATGAGTCTCCAAAAAAGCGCTGTATAAAACCGAAGCATCATGTCCATTGGCAAAAACAGTCATTCATTTAAGCATGTATTAGCTCATATATTCTGCACTGTACCTGTCTGTATCTGGTCCATTTCTGGCAATGATCATTTTCATCTTTCCCAGTCCTCCGACCGGAGCTCTGTCTGTCCCTGTGGTGAACTGCAGAAACAGCCTCTTCTGCTCCTCACTGAACGAGTGGATGATCTCCCAGAAATCTCTGTCAACAACGTCAGATTTAAAACAGCATTCACAGACTTTATCTCACCAGAGCCACATACAGTTGTGCCTGAACCTTTTCACATACATGTCATTGTTTTGGACATATAGCATTTGGAGACTATGAATGATTACACACACAAGTTTTTTCCAATTGATATTGTGTGATTATTTTTTTATTAGATTGAAATTGAATCTCTAACTTTAACGTAATAAAGAAGCCGGTCTAAAATCTCCAACTTTAGCCTAATTAAAGAAGAAAAAATTGAAGATATATACTGTAGGAGGATTTTACTTCCGGGTGGATCATCAAGACGGTCCTCCCAATTGTCAATGATTCTGGTGATACGTGCTCGTCAATGAAGATCAGGAAGTTTTGTGCAAAACGTGGGGAGGGCAGTTCTTTCCTAAAATTTGGATATATACATATACATACCTTTAAGTATAACATCTCTAACTGTGCTGTGCTATGCTGTGAGTTGCTATAGTAATGTCTAAGGCGGAGTGTCGTTTTAAACAACAGTATTAATCAACAGTTCATACAATTCGGTGCATAAATTTACAGGAATTTGAGGAGAAGAATGTGCTTTACCAATAGAGAGGAGAAAGATCCTGGCCCACAACAAAAAACTCCAATTTACTTCTAATCAGGGTCAGAAGAGGACTCTCTGTTGTTATTATTGGAAAATAGAAAACACATTGATTTAACAATAAATGGCTTCGACCAACCAGAGACAGTCATTATAAAATGGCTTTGTGATGTCGTTCATAATACCCAAAAAATAAAAATTGTCTGGGTGTTTTTTCCATGCCTGCAATAGTTTAACTTACTTGATTATTTGACTGTCTTTACTGTATCCTCCGTCATAATCTGTCGTCTGTTCAAGAGCCTCAAAGTCCAGTTTCTGACATAAAGCAAAAACAGTCATTTGTTATAATTATTGACATGTGGGTGCTGAAGATAATCCAAAAATAATATGAACTTTCTCCATTACCCTGCTGCCACAAATGAGTAACTCCACCTCCTCTGGTCTGTACAGATACTTCAGCGGTGATTCATAGGTGACCATTAAAAATCCTTTTTTAAACGCTTTGAACTGGCTTTCGACGCTTTTGTTCAGGATGTAGTCAGCGTACATGTCCACAAACTCCTACAAAAAGAAAAATGAAAGATGATGTATCTTACATTCAAAATTCTGAGAAACTATGCCATTTGAGCCTGTGAACTAAAGCAAGTGAAGTACATTTTGATATTTAATGGTAAATATCACATCTAGTACAGGGATGTCAAAGTAAGATACGTCAGGGACAAAAAAACAAATTTGCTACAAGCAGAGGGTTAGGGTTAGGGCCGGACTGGTTCAATGTTAATTAAAACATGATAAAATTATGCATATCACCTATTAAATCAAGACCTAACACGTCGCACCGTATTTTATTGAATGATTCTATGAATAATCCAATATTTTGTATGGCTCTGTCAGTAATTTCAAGTGAAATTTTGTTTCAACAGGCTAACAGAGAAAAATAAACTCATGTCCTGAACATTAAATTGATAATACAATTTATATTTAAGATCCACTCATTCGCGGGCCCGCGGGCCTTGACTTTGACCACAACATTTTAAGCTGATAAGTTACATGTTAAATAAGCTAGCATGTTTAATGTGGGATGTTTTGGAGGAGAAGGGGATTTTTTCCTCATTTTTCCATATGCAATATTTCCAAAATTCCCCAGCTTTACTTCCCATTGCAATTTACTGGAAACTTTCCTGTACATTTTCCACCCCTTTGCAACCCTAATCTTACCTGTCTGTTTTCTTTGGTGACAGGAATGAGGTCGCCCTTCTCCTTGAGGTCATATAAAGTCGGGTTCCCAAAGAGGTCCGTTTGAGAGATTTGGAAAGTTAGCATGAGGTCGTCTTCCACATTTCCGGTGTACTCCAACAAATCCTTGAGACTTTTGAACAACACCTGTATACAATATTTGTGGTTATTACAGGTCAGCTCCAGGTTTGGTCAAGTCCAACATCAATGACACAGCCAAGAGCTAGTGCTAGCAGCGGCACAGTGGTTAGGCCTTGTGCTTCCTGGGTTCAATCCCACCCCTATGTGGGGTTGGCATTCTTCTCGTGTCAGTGTAGGTTTCCTCTGGGTGCTCCGGTCAAAATGTACAATAGGTCTCCTGTACAGTGACCCCGCTCCCATCTCTGTGGGGAGTGAGAGACGAATGCCCAAAACAATTGTAGAGCGCTTTGTGACTCTAGTCTGTGAAAGACGCTATACAAATAAACATGACCAACTTAGTATATATTTGTATATGGATATCTATTGTAGGACCAAATAATATACTGTATGAAACCAATCGAATTCCAAGAACCTGCTCTGAAACATGGATTTTCTAATGACTTTCCCTTTATGACCCGGCCACCAGGATGTGTGTTTGTCTATAGGCAGGACTACTGGTTGAGCTGAAAATTGATACTTTCCCATTTACTAAAAATAAAAGTAAAGTTAAAATTAAAAAAGGTTCAGTATTTGTTACTTGCAGACTTGTTGATGGTTCCTAACGTTTATATTTCTATCAGTTATCAATTTTAGGCACCACCTGAGAAAGACCAGAGAGACCAGACAGAGAATCAGCGAGAGATCAGCGAGAGATCAGAGAGAGAGCAGAGAAAGAGCAGTGAGAGGCCAGAGATTAATATATATACAGTGCCTTGCAAAAGTATTCGGCCCCCTTGAACCTTTCAACATTTCGCCACATTTCAGGCTTCAAACATAAATATATAACATTTTAATTTTTTGTCATGAATCAACAACAAGTGGGACACAATCGTGAAGTGGAACGAAATTTATTGGATAATTTAAACTTTTTTAACAAATAAAAAACTGAAAAGTGGGGCGTGCAATATTATTCGGCCCCTTTACTTTCAGTGCAGCAAACTCACTCCAGAAGTTCAGTGAGGATCTTTGAATGATCCAATGTTGTCCTAAATGACGGATGATGATAAATAGAATGCACCTGTGTGTAATCAAGTCTCCGTATAAATGCACCTGCTCTTTGATAGTCTCAGGGTTCTGTTTAAAGCGCAGAGAGAACCATGAAGACAAAGGAACACACCAGGCAGGTCCGAGATACTGGTGTGGAGAAGTTTAAAGCCGGATTTGGATACAAAAAGATTTCCCAAGCTTTAAGCATCTCAAGGAGCACCGGCGAAGCAATTATATTGAAATGGAAGGGGTATCAGACCACTGCAAATCTACCAAGACCCGGCCTTCCCTCCAAACTTTAATCTCAAACAAGGAGAAGACTGATCAGAGATGCAGCCAAGAGGCCTATGATCACTCTTCAGATTCAGATTCAGATTCAGATTCATTTATTTGCCATTTGCAGTAAAACCACATTGGAAAACTGTGCAAGACTACCCCGGTGTGCACCAGAAGACGACACACACCAGAGCTCTTGCCACGGCGCCATTTTTACGGCGCCATGCGACAAACAGTAGAATAAGTTATTCAACAGCATAGAGCAAAACAGACATATATTTCAACAAACATGGGGAGAGACACGGTACATGTGGAAAAACATGCGGATCTTTTTAATGGGAAGTCATCACTCTGGCCCGCCTCGTCCAATATAGCGCGTCAGAGGGGAGTGTGGGTGGGGGAGGTGGAGGGGAAGACCACCATAGACTGAAAAAGAGAGAGAGGCAGACATGTAGGGGGGGGGGGGGGACTGTAACTGGTGTTCTGAGTTGTGAGTCTGAGATAGATAAGAGTCCAGTGTCAGCCTTGAGTGGCCGTGTGTGGTGGTGGAATGTGAAGGACAAAGATAGCGCAGGTGCCTGCAAACATTGGAGACAAAACAACACATGCCCTTGTGGGAAATTTGAATAAGCACTTTTAGCTGATCAATGAAAGGCAGTGTAAACTAAAGCCAATATGTCCAAATTATACTGGAACTGGACCCTCCGTTCACCGTTATCCGGAGTTGACCACGTCAGTACGAGGTTCCACCGTGAGGCCCAAGTCCTTCAATCAATCCTTCCACGCGTTTAAGTCCATCCAAAGATCTCACTCCCAGGTCGTTAAGGGAATGTTCGATCCGACTCACACCCCGTTGTGTCCCCACTGTGCCCTCGACCACGACTCTGACCAACTCGCGGAAACTCTCCTTGTTTTCCGCGGACAGCCGCGCGTAAATCTTCTGAGTGGACAGCCCTCCAACTTTGCGGTAGATCAAGCCAACTCCAAATCCAATCAGGAGGAACCCTGCTACCATAAATCCAAAAAAGTATATATCCTCAATGTCCTCGATGGACAGTCCCGACAGACAAACGGGGTGCCACTTTTGCCAGTTGTCAAAAACGTACCCAGCAGCCGCCGTACCATCCGGGCAAACGGCATCTCCAGAACCGCCTTTACGTGATGAAAAAATAGTATCAATTGCGTTGAGGGACCAGTTGATTAATTCCATCATTTGGATGAACTGCAGATAACTACAGCTGAGGTGGGAGAGTCTGTCCATAGGACAACAATCGGTCGTGCACTGCACAAATCTGGCCTTTATGGAAGAGTGGCAAGAAGAAAGCCATTTCTCAAAGATATCCATAAAAAGTCTCGTTTAAAGTTTGCCACAAGCCACCTGGGAGACACACCAAACATGTGGAAGAAGGTGCTCTGGTCAGATGAAACCAAAATCGAACTTTTTGGCCACAATGCAAAACGATATGTTTGGCGTAAAAGCAACACAGCTCATCACCCTGAACACACCATCCCCACTGTCAAACATGGTGGTGGCAGCATCATGGTTTGGGCCTGCTTTTCTTCAGCAGGGACAGGGAAGATGGCTAAAATTGATGGGAAGATGGATGGAGCCAAATACAGGACCATTCTGGAAGAAAACCTGTTGGAGTCTGCAAAAGACCTGAGACTGGAACGGAGATTTATCTTCCAACAATGATCCAAAACATAAAGCCAAATCTACAATGGAATGGTTCACAAATAGACGTATCCAGGTGTTAGAATGGCCAAGTCAAAGTCCAGACCTGAATCCAATCGAGAATCTGTGGAAAGAGCGGAAGACTGCTGTTCACAAACGCTCTCCATCCAACCTCACTGAGCTCGAGCTGTTTTGCAAGGAAGAATGGGCAAGAATTCCAGTCTCTCGATGTGCAAAACTGATAGAGACATACCCCAAGCGACCAAAGATCCTCACTGAACTTTTGGAGTGAGTTTGCTGCACTGAAAGTAAAGGGGCCGAATAATATTGCACGCCCCACTTTTCAGTTTTTTATTTGTTAATAAAGTTTAAATTATCCAATAAATTTCGTTCCACTTCACGATTGTGTCCCACTTGTTGTTGATTTTTGACAAAAAAATATTTTTTATATGTTTATGTTTGAAGCCTGAAATGTGGCAACATTTTGAAAGGTTCAAGGGGGCCGAATACTTTCGCAAGGCACTGTATATACAGTGTCTTGCGAAAGTATTCGGCCCCCTTGAACCTTTCAACATTTTGCCACATTTCTGATAAAGATATACAAATTAAATTTTTTGTTGTTGATTCTTGACAACAAAATTAATTTGTATATCTTTATGTTTGAAGCCTGAAATGTGGCGAAATGTTGAAAGGTTCAAGGGAGCCGAATACTTTCGCAAGGCACTGTACATACACTTACACCACAGGTGAATAAGGATATTTAAATTGGCCAATTCCAAGTGTTTCTCTTCTTCCTATTTGGTATATTTAACTGACATTTCTAAACCAATAACTTATAAAACTTGTTAGGGGTGCCCAAACTTGTTCATGCCACTGTATACACATGTAATATTTACCGGGTTGAGGTCGGCCAGGTCCTGGTAGGTGCCCTTCTTGCCCATGAGTTTGCGGTAAACCACCATGGGAAAGTGCACATCCAGGATGCAGCTGTTGTAAATGGCCAAACCCAAAACGATGCCGATCAGAGAGAACTGAGCATCGTTCTCCAGAGACGTGGGACTGAACCAGAACAGCCCAGTGTCCTCTTCATAGCTGAACATCCCTGGGCAAAAAAATATAATATCAAGTAAAAAAGCGGTCCTTGTAAAATATTTTAGTAACCAAAAGTTACTATTTCTCATGTAAGCTAGCTAGCAAGCTAGGGTTATGGTTTCCTACTCTCCTTGATGAGGGAACCATACAAGTCTTTTCCTTGGCTTCCTCATTTGGATTGACATGTCATTAGGGTTAGGTTTAGGGTTTGATTTGCTAATACTGCTCTCTGTTGCCTTCAGGAAGAGGCTCCGAGTTTGTTGATCGTCCCTAGTAGTGCTCCTAGCGTTTAAACATGATTAGGGTTACAACATAATTGGGCGGCAATAAATGTTAAGTTATGTTTTGTACCTGATAAAAATATATCTTGATAAACATTTAGAGCCATCAACAAGTCTGCAAGCAACAAATACTGGACCTTTTTAATTTTAACTATACTTTTATTATTAGTAAAGGGACATTTTCAGCTCGACCAGTAGTCCTGCCTATTCACAAACACAGACGATTACAATACCCCGTTGCCCGGGTCATAAAGGGAATGGGGTCACCTATTAAGAAGTTGAGTAAATTTTCGATTTCATCCCATCCAACTATTCATGCCATGAGGCTTTTTGCACTTTTTATACACCTCCTCCACGTGCTGCTGTTTTGTACGTACTTGATCACTACCACACACACAAAACAGTATCTCACCAATGTCTGGGTTGAAGATTTCCTCCAAAAACAGTAGGAAAAACTCTTTGGAAATGCCTCCTTCATCGACGCCTTGTTCTCCTTCAAACTCCACCACCAGCTGCTTCTTCAGGTCAGACGGGTTTTCCATCGCTATAATCTCCAGCTGCAGAACAAGCACATCGTCAAGCCTCAAAATCCCTTTATTTATTTACATTTGACACCTTTTGTTGTAAAAGAACAGATATTATCCATTGCGTACTTAATTAAACATGATGGCAATATTTACTTCATTGACTTTCAAGTTGAATGTGAAATGTTTTAGTAAAGTAGAATGGATATAGAGAGAGATAGAGGGAGATAGAGACACATAGATAGAGAGAAATAGATGGATATTTATTTTCTTGTTTAAATGGTTGGGACAGCGCATGTTCATGAATACAACTCTCCGGACTTAGCCATGGGTTGATTTGGAGCCGGTGTCCCACATTCTCACTCACAAACACACACTCATTCATATATAGATATAGAGAGATTGAGAGAGAGAGAGAGATATAGAGAGATAAATAGATGTATAGAGATAGAAAGAGGGAGATAAAAAGAGGTAGAGATGGATAGATGGATACAGAGAAAGAGATAGATAAAGTAGAGATAGATAAATAGATGGATAGAGAGAGAAATAGATAGAAATGCAGGTAGATAGCGATAGAGATAGAGAGAGATAAACAGACGGATAGAAAGAGAGACAGAGCTAAACGAGAGAAGGGAGGAAGATCCTTTTAATGTGGTGAGGAATGACTTCCATCTAGTGGTAGAAGTGGGAAAATCACCTTCTGAATACAACACCATGTTCCCATACTAAGGTAAGATAAGTGATCCTTTATTCGTCCTACAGTGGGGAAATTTCAATGTTGCAGCGCACAAACAGGAGAGCAGTAAGAGCACACAAAATACACAATATAAGTAGCTTTCTTTGTTTCTTAGCTATCTGTAAATGTATATCGAAGACATGTGTGGGAAGAATCTATGTGCTCTGTCCCTGACAACATTGGGCCAAAAATGTTATACGAGTTTGAAAACAGTACGTGGGGGAACGTCTTTGGGCCAGAAGTTCATGATTTGACCTTGGATGGAGCTCAAAATGACTCCAGGTATGTTTATGATGGTTGTTAAAGCTGCAATATTAATCACTCACAGCTTAATCATTCGTTTAGTTTTGCTAAAATTGTTCAATGTTGTAATTGTTGAAACCTCAAACAGACAATTTTTCATAATATATTTAAATACATGCATAACTTAAAACTGGGATTACCTTTGTTTTGTTTGACCCAATAGAAAGATTCTTTTGAAATTAACTAATAACATGAACCTCTTAATCTTGATCTTAATCTGAGCACATTCTAATGCGTTAAAACAAGATTTGCCAACGGGACAAAGCCGTTTAGTCTCATTTCAACGGGGACAGTTGAAAGTTTAGTTCTCATTCCAAGCGACACTTTTCTTGTAATAATAATTTTGCTTTGTTCCATTGGCAAATCTTGTTTTAAGGCAGTCAGAATGTGCTCAAATGCATTTTGGCAAATTTGATCTTATTTTTGATAACTATTTGCAGTGTTGAAAGTCAGAAACCCCAGCTTTAATCCTAAATCCTCCTTACCCGGATCAAGGCGTCGTCAATAATATGGTCTCTCCGCACTTTCAGCTCGAGAAAGGGCGTGGGCTCGCGTCCCTGCATCATGCTGTAGAAAGCCGTCAGCCTCCTCTCTCCGTACATACGAATCCGGTTGTCGTAATAAAGGCCCTGATTCTTGGTGATAACGCTGAGTATAAAGGGACAGGTCTGGAAGGAAAACTTGCTGTCCTCATCCACTTTGAAAAACGTGAAATCCTTGTCCATCTCCAGAACGTCGTTGAGAGAGTCATTGACGAAATCCTCGAAAGGGATCAGAGGTTTTCTACTGTCTATTGCCTTCAAGCCCAGTTCTGTCTCCAAAGGGTCCACTCTTGGTCCCTTCTTGTAAATCCGCTCTTCTCCCATTAGCTCGTGCAGTGACAGCTCTTCAGACTCAAAATCTATATCGTCTTCTTCGTTATGCCCCACGTCTATCTCCCCTCCTAAAATACTCGCGTAGAAAACCACTTTTAAGCATTTGGCTGCTGCTACTACCGTCTCGTCGTCGTTGACCAAGTTATCTGCGTCGTAGTCGTTGCTAACTATGGTGAAAGTGATGAGTTGTTGATACGTCTCCATCATGCGCCGGATGTGAGAAAGACCGAACTCGGACCAGACTTTGGCCAGTCTTGCCTGAGCCTGGTCCGGTAGCTTACTCATAGCTTTGCAAAATTGCGGTGAAGCCACTTCCAGGTATTCAGGGCTATGCAGATTCGTATTCTCCATCACGATTATAAAGATGTTGAGGTAGTCCGGGTTGGTTTCGTAGACTTCCAGATACTCCAAATCCAGCTCCAAATTCGGGGTGAGGAAAATCATGGCATCCACAAGAGCTCCCTGTATTTCGTCAATGGCTAAGATCTTTTCATAGACTCTGCGAACTGCTTTGATGTCCACGTTTAAGTCAGTTTCACTTGCGTCTTGATTTGGAGAAGCTGTCGCGCCCTTTTCCGATGCGTCCGGCTCGTTTGGGAGGTTCTGTGCCTGTTCTGGTTTGGTGTCTGTTCTAAAACTCTTCATGAGAGATTCAGAGTTGGAGAAAACTCGTCCGATGGCTTGAGCGGCGGCAGAGAAATCCTTGGCCTCTTTGCAGAAACTTAGCATCATAAGAACGTTGCTTTCTGTTAAGTGGTGTATGCCTGTAGAATAACATGACACATATCATCATCATCCTCATCATCATCATCATCATATCTTAGATATCTATTGAAAAGGTCTGTGTGTAACTACCAGATAGAGTTATGTATTGTCAAACCTAGACTGTGATTGTCACCACTGGTTTGTTGTTGTTCATTTACTATTAATAATAATAATAATAATAATAATAAGAGTAGAGTAGAGCTGAGCAGAGTCGAGTAGAGTAGAGTAGAGCTGAGTAGAGTAGAGTAGAGTAGAGTAGAGTAGAGTAGAGTAGAGCAAGAGCAGAGTAGAGTAGAGTAGAGTAGAGTAGAGCAGAGTAGAGTAGAGCAGAGTAGAATAAAGTAGAGCTGAGTAGAGCAGAATAGAGCAGAGTAGAGCCGAGCTGAGTAGAGTAGGGTAGAGTAGAGCTGAGTAGAGCTGAGTAGAGCCGAGTAGAGCCGAGCTGAGTAGAGCAGAATAGAGCAGAGTAGAGCAGAGTAGAGTAGAGCAGAGTAGAGTAGAGCAGAGTAGAATAAAGTAGAGCTGAGTAGAGCAGAATAGAGCAGAGTAGAGCCGAGCTGAGTAGAGTAGGGTAGAGTAGAGCTGAGTAGAGCCGAGTAGAGCCGAGCTGAGTAGAGCAGAATAGAGCAGAGTAGAGCTGGTGGAAACAGGGCTGATGTTCCTCCAGCAGTGGGCCACAGATGGTTGTACCTGTGAAGTCTCCCTGGTCAGTGCTGACCTGTCGGTCCAAACAGGGCACGTGGAGGTCGCACAGTTTGGCGTTGTTCTTAAACAGCTGCAGGGCTTTGACGGCGGCTGCGTTTTTATCCAGAGGTTTGAAGTCACCGTTGGAGGCGCAGAAGTCATTGGTGCAGGATCCATTTCCACAGCCGTCCGTGAGCTGCCGAAAGTACCGCTCGATTAGAGTCTTGGCAGCTGATTTATTCCTGTCGGGGGGGAGGAAGGGTGAGGGTGGGTGAGGAGAAGGGTTTGAAATGAGCTGAAACAATATTGATAATGATATGGACAAATGAATCGGACAACATGGAAGTACGTGTAACGATATGTAGGAGAAGACGGTGTGTTTGTGTGTGCTTTTACAGTGTGCTTCTCAGGCTTACTGTGTGTACAATATGTAACCGCGAGTGTAACATGATAGTTACCATTATTTAAAATGAGAAAAAAACATTTGTAGCTTGTGTGCACCACTGTGATTAGTTCAGAGAACTCTCTCTGGTTTCTCTCTTTCTAATCTCTCTCTGGTAAGTACTAATCTTTATTAATATACCACCTTTCCAGACCAGAGTCACAAAGCGGTTTACAATTGTTATTTTTGGGCAATTGTCTCTCACTCCACACAAAGATGGGAGCAGGGCCAGTACAGGAGGCACAGACCGATTGTACATGTTTTTAGTGGTAGGGGAAACCGGAGCACCCAGAGGAAACCTACGCAGACACAGGGAGAACAGGCAAACTCCACTCAGAAAGACCTGGTTCCGACCAGGACTTGAACCCAGGTTTCTGGTCTCTCTCTGGTCTTTTTCTCTGGTCTCTCTCTCTTCAGCAGTGGTGAGTTCAGATGATTAGAAAAGTGTATAAACAGCAGTGATGGGAATAATGGCATTGAAATAAACGTTTCTAACGCCGTTACTTTTTTCAGTAACGAGTAATCTAACAAATTACTTTGACTGTAACTATAACGCTGTTGAACAATTAACTTTAGACTTCATGATAGGACTCGTGTTGTCATGAGAGAAGGGAGGATGAGATAACCTTTCAGCAATTATTGGCTGATTATGAAGATTACGTCTTCAGCCAATCAGAGAAATTGGGTTGGTGGGTGTTTCCGCATTCACAGTGTTGGTGTTTAGTGCTTGCAGCACAGAGAGAGATGGAGAGTGAGGAGGACTCCTGCAGCAAAACAGCCTTTTCCAGATGGAAAGATCGGCACTATTTCAAACTCACTGAGGTTAAAGGAAAAAATGTACACGTCGAGTGCATGTTATGTTTCAGAATGAAACATTTGTCCACATGTTGTGTTAGCAACTCCACTTAAAGAAGCACCTGTCGACGGCTCACGCTTCAACCAAATTAGTGGCCCAGAAATATTTTGAGAAGTGTATGTCCATCTTCTGTCGTTTACGTAGAGTAGAGTTGCGATAAATTACAGGGGGTTACAAGGGCGAGAAACAAAAAAGTAACGCAATAGTTACTTTTACTGGTAAATAGTTACTTTTATAGCGGAGTAACTGAGTTACTAACTCAGTAACTGAGTTACTAACTCGGTTACTAGTTACTCCCAAAAAGTAACTATAACTAATTACTTTTCAAAGTAATTAGTAACTAAAAAGTAACTACAACTAATTACTTTTCAAAGTAATTAGTAAGTATTTTTATTTATTTAGATTATGTATGGACTGTAACCTGGAAATTAACCAGAGGCCGCTGTAAACTTTGATCCATCTTTCAGCAGTCTGGACATTGGATCATGGATACATGTTTTGTAATGATAAAGTGAATGACTGGCAAACCCCATGTTACACACAAGAAGATAAATAAGGAAAACATTTTAAAGTCAAGAAATAACTTACATTCAGCTTGTCAACAACACTTCTCAGCTCTGGAATTGCACTGTCAAAACAAAACAAAGACAATATTTCTATGGATTTGAAAGTAGAATAAGGATTGGATTGTGCTAAATAGTTACATAGTTAAAATGTTAAACTACAATTAATAAAAAAAGTTCATCAGAAAGAACAATGCTTTAAATAATGTTGTGTAGTTTGTTGTGAGAATTCGAACAGCATTAAAACAGAAAATAACAAAAGGAAAATCAAATTTGCTGTTACGTTTTAACCCATGACAAAAAGCTTTTCATCTGAATTATTTCATAGATAATGCATTCTGTTTATTGGTTTGAAACATTGTGAACAAAGTAAATGCCAAGGTGTCATTTGTTTAATTAAAAAAAACTTGTATTCTTATATATATTCATACTGGTAAGAAAGAGTCAAGTCAATATATTTGACGTTTTGGCCTGAGGAAGGATGCTCTCTCGCACTTTTCCACTATAAAAATCTCAGTTAAACTTGTGACATTGGCTAAAGCAGTCTTGAGAGCCTTGAACTAATTAAAGCGTAAACTTTTGACTGTTTACACTTCAGCTTCCACACACGTGCGGTGGTTATTAACATTTTAGCGCTACTGTGTCACGTGACCAAGACATATGGCCAGATCCCGTCATTTATCAATCTAAAGTATTTTTTCATTGGCAGCCCAGGAGTTGGGGACCACTCTCTAGGACGACTTAATTGTCCTTCGAAGGCTTCCATATACCTTAAACTGCCATACATGATCTCAACGCTAGATGGGAGTACCACTACACAGTGTACCTTTAAAATTAGGTACCCCAGCTTTAATCAGACCAAACTCTCCAAAAATACTGAGCCGGAGTTATGTTGTAATAGATTGTGCATTATCATTGCTTTAAGGGAGATTAAACAAACATTGAAAAGAGAAAAGTTATTGGAAAACAGACCGACCCGTGTCACAACATCCACATGACATTGCAAAACGGTACCAGCTGTCACTTTAGCATCCGGGCTAACAGCTAATGCACTATAGCATCCATTACTCCTTCATAACACGTATTTAAGCAACGCAGTCATTACGCTCTTGGGTTCTGATACTGAGTGAATGTACCGACCTGACCTGGGACCAGTCTCTGCAGGTGACGCTGCAGAAATCACACACAACAAACAGATTTCTGCAAAAAAGTCCTTCTGCAAAAACTGGGACTGGGATCCTCCTGGCGTGTGTCTGCGAGTGTATGTGTGTCTGTGTATGTGTGTGTGTGTATGTATCTATGGTGTTGTTACAGAGGTATAAAGCCCGGACTGAATAGTTCTTCTCACTGTGCAGATCGTAATGTAAACAAGAGCCGATATCCCAACATGCAGCGCGTGGACCCCCCACATCCATATGAGGAGGTGGTCGTCACTGTGGTCAGGGGGAGGAGGGGGAGGAGGGGTGGTCTCTGCTGTCTGCGGTACATCTATGTCACAGTTCTTATTTCTACTATTAGTAGTAGTACAAGTCGTAGAAGAAGTAGAGGCAAAAAGTACATTCATTAATTTACATAAGCCTAAATCAAATGACTCGTCAAAAAGATAACAGTTCTATAATATCATATATCATTTCTTCCAAAAAGTAAATATCTGAATGAGTAAAGATCAATCAATAGTAAAGAAGAATCAATGGATTAATCTATCAATTATAATAATGATCACGCGATTAGTTTTAAATGCAAACAATGCAATTTTTCTCTCACTTTTACTTGTCATATTAAGACAATACAAAACAATTTATTCTTGTATAGCCCTAAATCACAATAGAAGTCATCTCAGAGGACTAAACAAAACCATTGAAATCACCAACACAGATCAGAAAATCAACAGTTAAAACACAAAAAGAATATAGAACACATGTTGATAAATGTGTAGAATGTTAAAGTGTCCTGGATCATCACCACATCCTTTTTGTTGTTGGACACTAATTGTCCAACAGACCCTCCTGCATTGGCAAGGAAAAACTCATTTCCCAGTGGGAAAAAAGAGAGAAACCTCGGGAAGACCCAGGGAAACCCTCAGGGAGACATAGTTTGAGAAAGGGATCCGCTCCCACGAACGGACAGGCTATAGATCCAGGACCTAAGCTACAGAACGTGGACCAGTGGCCGTTGAACGTGGACAAGTCCTGTGCAGGACTGAAGCACTCCCAGGCAGGTCGGGCGGGGCAGTCCGCAGGTGTAGATGGAGGAGGCCAGGTTCAGAGATCCCGTCATCGTACCATGAAACAGACAATGGGACAACGGGTGAATAGCAATGAACAAACTACAGTCAAAATCCTAATAATGCCAAACAGATAAAGTAGGAAGGAGGAGAGGATGGTGCTCAAGTTACCATACAAGACCTTAGTATGGTAACATACAAGACATTCTGTAAGCGTGATTAAAACAAGACCAAAAATGTGTATGTGCTTACAGCTGGGCACAACTGGAAACTTGTGATTGTGAACAGATCAGAGAATCAAACAGTTCAAACACAATAGATGCAATGATCATCACCAATGTCCTTAGACCCTCCTGTACCTGGAAGAAGAAACTCAGTAGGAAAAATTGAGAAACCTCATGAGTGCCGAGTCAGGCGAGTCCAAACTGCTCTTGATCAGTGAGTTATGGAAGGAGCCTCTCCAGAGAAGAGAGGCTCCCCTCTCCTCTCTGGAGTTCCAGGGCTGTCACTCTCCAGTGGCTGGTAGAAAAGGATGGTTCCAGATGGATCCAGCGAGTAGCAGATCCAGTGGATTCACAAGAGAGACTGAGGTGGTCTGAGCAAGAGATCAGCGATAGAGAGACCAGCAAGAGAGAGATACCAGAGAGAGACCAGAAAGAGACCAGAGAGAAACCAGAGAGAGACCAGAGAGACCAGAGAGAGACCGGAGAGAGACTGGAGAGAGACTAGAGACACCAGAGAGAGACCAGCGAGAGAGAGACACCAGTGAGAGACCATAGAGAGACCATAGAGAGACCGGAGAGAGACCAGCGAGAAAGACACCAGAGAGAGACCAGAGAGAGATAGAGAGAGACTAGAAACACCGGAGTGAGATTAGAGAAAGACTAGAGACTATTGGTGGAAAGTATAGCTTGGTTTTAAATTTGGTGCAGCCATTTTTTTTTAAATGCAACTGCACATTGTCCTTCATAAATCAAACTTCAAACTTCAGCGAGACCAGAGTAAGAGCAGATAGAGAGCAGGTGAGTTTGTATTGTGGCAGGGTGGACAGTGAGAAGCATGGGGTGGAATTTTAATACTCAAAATTAATACGTAATGTTCTGGTATAGGTTTGGTTCGGATTGTTGGTGTTTCAGTCTTCAACTTATTTATAAAGTCAAAAGTATATCAATCAACCAACCAAGCTTTCTATCTATGAAACACTCTGAGATATACCACTACACTCCTTACACTTCGAAGTCCCACGGGATAAGAGTTTGATATGCATGACCACGGCTCGACAGCTTCAAGGGCAGGTTTTATATCAAACAAAAGTGAAACAGGAAATGATCTGGAGAACTGTTGATGGCACGCAGGGAATCATGATGAATTAACGAGGATGGAGGCGGAGAGGCAGCGCTCGGTCTCATTTCCATCACGATATTTAGTGGCCATAAATCTGAACGGCTATAAACACTACAGCGTTCACTCCCTTGTCGTCTCGTTCAACAATAAGCCTGTTTCAATTATGTATGATCCCATCCTTCCTCCGTCTCTCCTCTGGACTCTGATGCTGCGCTGTTTGTTATTCTGTCACCATTTCTATACTTCTAACAGACAACAGTGGACCAGAGCAGCAGGACCAGGATGTGTCGGTTGTGGCCGTCAGACCTCAGAAGCTGTGCAGGGCAGGGCTTGGATAGTACTGAGATGGGAGACTTCTGGGAACACCAGGTGCCACAGTTGGGCGGCTGTAAAGTGCCAAATTGCCTAGAATGAGTTTGGCTGGTGTGTGTGTGTGAATGGTTGGTGGTGGAACGAGGGGCTGATAACACATATGGTTGCCTTGCTTCTGTCACTCTGCCCCAGGGCAACTCTGGCTACAGTAGTTGTTTACCACCATCGTGTACATACTGACAGAATAATGACACGTGTCCAAAAAAATTCCCTAGATATCACCCATGTTTTTGTATTGTCATTAATTCGCAATACACATATTTGTCCACTAGGTGCCGCTATTGTTCTACAAAAAAGTGCTGGTCTCAAAGTAGAATCTGTGACGAGGCGGCTGCTCTTTGCCATGGAATGCGCTGCTCCTGTATCTGAAATTATGTTTTTAATCTACAATTCAACCTTTTTGCTTTTTGACCGTCCACACATTGGATTTGAAGGTTGTTGTTGTTGTGTTCTAATATAACTTTGCACTAGTCAGGAAGTACCATCACATTAGTCCAGTTCTCAGGTCTCTGCACTGGCTTCTTGTGGCTCAGAAAATAGACCTTAAAGCAGCTATGAACAAACTCTCAGCACAGGGACTGGCCTCCTGCTGGGACTCTGAGGAGCACAGGAACCGGCCTCCTGCTGGGACTCTGAGGAGCACAGGGACTGGCCTCCTACTGGTGCCCAGAGTCAGATGAGATAAGATAAGAAATTCCCTTATTCGTCCCATAGTGGGGAAATTTCAGTGTCATTGCTGCGCACATTACAGCAGAGAAAGAAGGAAATAAGAGCACTCAGATTGAACACATCAAATAGAGTCTATCATTTAAGATAATAGATATATGATTAAAATCCGATAATAAGATGGTAAAATAGAATAAAGTAAAATAAAAAAATAAAATAAACCCTGTGCTTCCCTCCCCTTGTTGCTGCCTCATTGTTTTGTCCTGGTTACTTTGGATTTTGGATTTTGGAGTTTGAGTTTGTTTTTTTGCCTTGAACTTTGTTTTATTAAAAGCTTTATTTTGGCTTTCCTGCAATTTGAGTCCTCCTCCTTCCCACCCCGTGACATGCAGCCAAAATCTAGAACAGTCTTCCTGAAAATGTGAGCCAGGCTTTATCTCTGACAATGTTCAAATACAGATTAAAAACTGTTCTGTTTAGCCGTGCATACAACTGAATTGGGGGCGACAGTGGCTCAGTTGGTAGAGCATTGGCCTTTGGGCCTGAAGGTCGTGGGTTCGAGCCCACCGTAAGACCTACTTCACGACTCCCACTGATGACTGCTGTCGTTGTGTCCTTGGGCAAGACACTTAACCCCACTTTGCCTGAAGCCCCCGCTGAAAGATCAAGGCTCCTGTGGACTCACCACCTGCAGGAGGATCAGTGAGGGGCTGGTGCTCTGTGTACTGGGTGCAGCTCTGACTGCCACCCCCCCCGACCCAGAAATGGATTATGGGGAAGAAAATGGATGGATGGATGGATGGAGAACTGAATTGAATCTTCACTCTTTTTTTTAATTCACTGTTATTTATTTTTAGTTTCCTTGTGTATGAACCGTGCTATACAAACACCCTTACCTTTCCTTTACCACATTTGCATAATTAGTGAATGTACACAGTATGTATAGCCCTCTGCCTCCTACAGGGACCACACGTTTTCCATCACGTGGCGGCGGCTTCACACCTTAAGGCTATAAACAGTATTGTGTTGTGCGGCGTGAATCGCACGACACCTGCTCTGCTCTCATTATCATCTCTGCTTCTCTAAGAAACTTTAAGAGAAAATAAATCACTTAATTTTTGTGTGTGTAAATGACAAGAGAAAGCTGCTACAGTACAACATGCACATTCTGTCATAAAGGAAAACTCAAAAAATGCTTTAAATATGGTTGAAAAATGTGGTCACACTTTAGTTTAGCCTTGATTAACAGCTAATAAAGTGCTAATTTTTGTATAATCTATGGGTTATTTACAGTGATGGGAATAACGGCGTTACTAGTAACGGCGTTACTAACGCCGTTACTTTTTTCAGTAACGAGTAATCTAACTAATTACTTTGACAGTAACTATAACGCCGTTATCATTTCCGACATCCCGTTACTGCGCGTTACTCAAGACGCACAATGAACGTGTTGTCATGAGAGAAGGGAGGATGAGAAAACCTCTCAGCAATTATTGGCTGATGTAAATCATATTTCCTTTACAATCTACATGTCTACAGTTGAGAGGATGGCTCATAAATTGTGTTTTTGAAACAAATATGGGTCTTAATCGCGCTCAACCACGGCTTGTATCACCGTGAGGTCAGCCACAGAGTAGCGCATGTGAGCGCAGAAGTCGGCTGCATACAATTCCATCGATAAGCTCCTTGCTCTTCCTGGTTTATCTGCTAAGGACAGCAACAGGTTTGGCTAACATACATATAACACATTTTTACATAATCTAAAATGCACATAGGGTAATTTTTCAATTACTATAGGAATGATAAGAAAGAGAGGTGAAGTGTAAGACGGTTGATTTTAGAAATTGGATGCAGCCGGCTGCAGCAAAACAGAGGAGTTTAC